TGTTGCGGGGGCTGAAGCGGTTAAGGAAGCGGTGGCGGCGGCGAAGCGTGGACGTCGCCTGGGAAGAATGGCGAAGCAGTTGACGTAGAAGCGCTTTCCCTGTTGTGTTAATTTCACACATTTGAATTGCCAGGGCCCGGCGCGTTTAGATACTTTAATCAAATGAAAGTTTCTTTGGATTCAATTTCCCAATTCTGAGTTGTCAGGGCCTGGCGTGTTACCATACTTAATTCATATGCAGTATTCAACTAGGATTAGAACAAGAGAATGTAAATTATCTAGATTATCTAGATATAGTGAATGTAAAAGAAGCTCTAGATTATCTAGAAAGACTGAATGTACAAGATGCTCTAGATTATCTAGAAATACTGTATGTAATAGATATTATATATAATCTAGATTTATGTGTATGTAATAACAACATATATATAGAAAATATATAACGTCGACCATTATGCTACGCATCCCATTCGATCGTTTTCGCCGTCTCGTTTTCGGACCTGGCTTCGAAGGGTTCAAGTCGAGTCGACAAACAGCAGGTGCTCTTGATAAAGGATCTCTGTCAAGGTCTTGTGGCGGAACTGGTACGACATGGGCCGCGTAGAGCAGCTTGAAGCGCTTCGTTGAGTACACGTCGTCAAAGAATAGCATTGGATCCTGATGAATAGCGTTGTAGCATCTGATGGCATGGATACAAGGTTTCCTTGTGTCAAACCAAGTGCGGCACTGACATGTTTTTGCTTCCAGGTCAACTAAGCGCCAAACGTGGGTAGTTGTCGAAGTTGGATCGAAGAAGAACGCCAAAAACGTTCTCCCCGGCTCGCAAACATCAATCTGCACAGGTATGCATCAATCTAGATAGATGTGAATAGTTAATACCGATATATTTCGCGACTTTGTTAACAACGTCTGGTACAACTTGTGGTGAACAGGTGTCATTGAGTCGTCAGGCCAGCTTGCACTTTTTGATCTACACAACTGTTAGTTGTAGTACTAAAATATATAGAAGATACTAGCATACTCTAGAAGATCTAGATACGCTTAGATGTATCTAGATGTCTAGTTTACCTAGATACGCTAGATATCTAGATGCATCTAAATATTATAGGTATATTCAGACATTGTACAATACCTCCGTTCGTTGATGTTTTTCAGTAAGTGGTGCATGTACGTATCGAAAGTGGAGCATCACAGCATCTGAGCTACATAGCTCCGTTCCCAACCATTGGTTTGCCGATTCGCTCATGTTGGATGTGACGTTGCCAAACGTTGGTCTGGGGAATGCATAGGTCACCCAATTCTTCAGAGGGATGTGCGAGAGGTATACAGCAACAACTATGGATAGAGGATATAATATCATAGGTAAATATGTCTTTGCATACCTGAGTTCATCAATGTTAGTTTTTCCAAGTTGCGCTCAAACGTTTCGTGGCTGTCAGAGCGTGCCAGTGTGTACACCAGGGCTTCTTCGGGGCTAGACAAGTGGCGACCAAGCGATGTGTTGATGTTGGGCACAATGTGGCGCATGCAATGCAGGCATTCGTCAGCCCTAATTATCGAGGACATATCCTTGAAACGCATACAGTCTCAAGCACTTGAGTACAGTTCTAGATGTCCAGAATATTCGAAATATATATATATATTTGTATAAAAGTTGTAGAAACTCTAGAATTTTCCAAATATATATATATTTGTATATATATAGAAGTTGTAGAATATCTAGACGTAAAGTTCTATAACCTTTCAGGCGATCCAAGACGATTACTGTGGTAGGAATCAGTACTCCAGCATCCTTCAGGCAGCGCAAGAACCAGGCCCAATGATCGCCGTTTTCAACAGGAACGACAGCGATCCCTAATTCATATTAACCAGAGTTTTAGGACTAAGAGGTACTGTAAACGTACCAAGAATAAGAAGATGGTTGTTTGGGTCCTTCGCCGTAGCGAGCAAGAGGACACCGTTCGAATTCATCAGATCTTTGAGATGTGCACCTATAAAATCTAATGTAAGCAAACGAGGATAATGTAAGCAAACGAGGATAAATAACGGCCATATAACGACTACCGTCGAGGGCTATCAAATTTTGGCAGTTTGAAAACCCTTCCGTGCAAAACCTGGGAACGAGTGTGTGCTTCGCAAAAATGCTCCATTCCTGGTTTCGACTAATCCAAACGTTCCAGGGATTCTCGACTTCACCAGTTCAAAGTACGCGGCGACTTTTTCGAACGCAACTTCGACTGATCCATACAAGTTCTGGATAAGATCTTGTTTGGCACGGCTGGCCGAGGACGTCGAAATGATCTCGCCACTTGAGCGTTGGTAGTGGCTAATGATTTGTTTTCCCGTCAGCTTGCGCGGATCGGACGTAAACGCGTTAAGATCACCGCTCTTTTGTAGTGCTTCCAGAATCTATCATAATTTGTAGATATTCAATTCGTTCTCGATATTATACAAAATATAGAACTACTAGACCCTACTAGTTATAATCCTGATACGCACTCGAGATTTGGATACACCAGGGTGAGCTTTCATCGTCGGCTTGGTTTGGAACAAGGGGTGGTTGTGCATCAAGTTCATCGAAGTTATCGAAGTACACTTATCACTACGCATACCAGCTCGAACGAAAAACTCACAGTCGTCAGTAGAGCAAACCCACTTCCCGGACTTTGTATTCCTATACTTTTGGGACACCCGAAACCCTTGTTTCAAGCTAAATGCGTTCAAACACTCACGCAAATACATGGAGTTTCCAAAGTCATGTTGTTTTACACAATTGATAACATCAAGGAAGATGTAGTCGTCTTCGGTGTTCGAGACACCAGTTAGATTCATCTCAATTGCATCTTGCAAGTACTCATGGGAAACGAAGCCACTCATAGCACAAATTGGATTCTGGGCATTACACCCGATTTCGGTTAGTTTTGATTAACCGGATGAATTGAATGGTTCAAGCGAGCTGCTGATCTATGCAAGGAGTATGTGCATCCGGTCGATTATCCGTTATTTCTAATTTCCCCCAGAACAGGTGTGTTTCGGCTCCCCAGCAGGGGTGGTACCCCTGCTGTGGGGGAACTGGTCCGAAATAGAATGATCGAAATCAACATTCTAACGGAATTAAATGGAACACTCCGAACATAAATGGAAAATATTTCATTGTCAGATGTTTTTCGAATTTACGCCGCAAAATGGAGTAAGTAACCTTACTCGGAGTACTACTGTACTATTAATAGGGAACGTATTACTGTAATAGTACTCGTCCATTATTAATTAATATCTCCTGGAGGTCGAAAACTACCTGTTCTCATGGAATATTCGAATTAACGGGTAATTGTCATAGGCAGATAAAGATACTAGTACTGTAAGTATACAGTACAGAAGTGGAACGCTTTGCATTTCGTCCAGCGTCTTATATCTGTGCAAAGAACTGGGTTGTCCGGGCGATTGTCCGTTAATACGATATTCCCCGAGAACAGGTAGTTTTCGACCTCCAAGCAGGTAGTACTACCTGCTGCCGGGGAATACCCAACAAAGGCCACTGGTAAACACGGATACTGTATAATACTTGTATTTAATACAGTAGTAATGCTAAGACAGTACCAAAAGCTCATCGACGTACTAACATATTACTCCGTAGTACGTTATGCAGTCATTCATGTTGTACTGTATGGTTTCGTTTGCAACAGACTAAATTTTTACTACCCATTTGCAAAGCAAGAAAAAGGGCGGGAGGCTGCGGGAAACGATCAACTTTACAATCCTCAAACGATATGGTAGGGCATACAGTAGTCCATCATCACCATACAACACACTAGAATCAAATTGAGTTCAGCTTGAGGAAGGAAGCAACATGCCCTGTTTTTAATTGCCATTTTGAAGGATTGGCATCGTCCTCAATTGCTTGCGCTGAGTTGCTTGGCTCCACAGAAAACGGTTGCATAACTATTTAAAATATGACATTTAAATGTTAGAAAATTATAACATAACATATCAATGTATGCTATAAATTATAGCTCAAGATGACAATAATTGTTTGTCATCTTTTCACGCTATATTTGAAGTTTTCGCCAAAATGCGTCTGTAATGTGCTGCTTCGTGGCTCAGAGATCACCGATCAACGCAAGAACATGGTAGCATGTACAGCAGCATTGATACTGCGTAATAAAGCGGCATGAACGGTGTTACGATGCTTATTGCGGGATATAATCACACCCAAAGTAAGCTATATTTCAGTTTTTGGCATGTTACAAAGTCATGTACTTTCTGGATACTACTCTGGTCCGGAATAGTTGTCCCATTGTTTTTGGATTGGCGGATTTTTTCTAGTATTTGTCCAAATGGCGTGATGATTGGTGCAATGGAAAGCGCAAGATCTCTATTTTCATTGGTTACTTTCTGCATGTTCTGAATCGCATTTGCTCAAAAGTTGTGGGCAAGCAAAGTGAGCGGGAACAAATCTGACACACAAATCAACCCGGATAGGACTCATTCTTAAAGTTGACGCGTTCAGACTTCGTGCAACCTACACAGAGCCACTAAGGAGCACCAAAAACACGGTTGGGCCTCAGAACGATTCGAATGGCGTCTCAAAGCGGCACTCGCCACCTCACGCCAGCCGAGCGACGCACTGCCTACGAGCTGCTCCTACAGGGCTCTTCCAATGGCCGCCTTAAGTACGGCGCATTAAAGGACGTTGCTGCGCACTTGAAGTGCCACTGGAAGACTGTATCGCGAGTGTGGAAGCGTGGACGACACTCGCTCTCCAACGGGTCACCGCATGCCGATGTCGCCTCAAAACTCAAGAGTAAATCCTCCAATACATTATATTTCACATTCAAATCATTAAATTACACAATTATTGATAATAACAGGAAAACGACTTGAGGCAATTCGGGTCGAAAAAAGTCACGTTTGGCTGCTGATTTCGAAGGCGCAATCAAGAGTGTGCCACAGCACCAGCGTCAGACCCTCCGTTCTCTTGCGGCACACAGTGGACTTCCGAAGACATCCATCGTCCGTCACATGCAAGAGACCAAGAGGCTAAAGTCCCGAGCCAGCTACATCAAGCCCATGCTCACTGAAGACAACACAAGGGCGCGTCTCGACTTTGCCAAGTCTTTTGTTCGACTTTTGCCAAGTGGAAACCATGCTTTCGTCGACATGAACGAGTATGTTCATGTAGATGAGAAAAGGTTCTACTTGGCAAAAGTCAAGCGAAAG